CAGCGGGTGGCCGGCCAGAGTGTACGCACGCCCATCAGCACCCCTGTCCAGGCGCATAAACGAGGACTTGGCCGGGATGACCGGTAAGTCAACTTCTGCAGACCGCAGGGCTAGGCGGTCGAGGTCCTGCTGAATGGCGTTACAGTTACCGGGAGAATCAATATGTCTCCAAATATTCAGGTCGTCTGAAAATAATGCGCAGGGCGACCGAAGAAGCGGAGGTATTTCATTGAGTTCGACCATAAACCTAATGGGTCCCAGTACTGTGTCTTGTGGTGTGACGTTAGTGGAGTGGTACCATTCCGTTAGGTGGTAATCCAACTTAACCCGTCATTTTTCCCAATTAGGCAGTCGCTGCTCCACTGGAGCAGCCGTGCCACCAAAGCCACACATCCTCAGCATGTGGAGCTGGATCGAATGGTTCACTTTATCGAAAGCATTACTGAAATCAATGTAAAGAACATCCAATGACTTCCCCCGGTTCAACGCTTGCAACTATTGCTGACGCGTCGACAGCAGGTTGATGATAAAAGTGCGGCACTTAATAAAGTCGTGCTGTGTCGGCTTTTGGAGATCTTTCGACTCTAACAGCTGAAGAAGACCCATTTTCACAATCTTCTCTGGCGCAATTTCGCCAAAATCAGCGGTGAGGCGAATCATCCGGTGGTTATCCGAATTGCTTGGGCAACTGCCTTTTGGAATCGGCTTCACTAGCGAGCTGTTGAAGAAAGGTGTACCTGATAAATACGTAAACATTATCAAAGCGCTGTAGGTGCATAGTTCGGGCATAATGAAGGATTGTGGCAAACTGTCGCCAACCTACAGCGTCAGCAGCGGTGTGAGACAAGGTTGCCCGCTGTCACCTTTTCAATTTAACTTCGCAGTTGACGAAGTCATGGAATCAGCATTTGCTGGACACAACTTAGAAGGTGTGGAGCTACTTCCTGGTGAGCGACTTCTTGACTTGGAGTACACGGACGATATTGCCCTAATTTGTGACAGCTCCCAAATTGCCCAAGCAGCACTGGACCGATTAGCATTGGTTGTCTATCGTTTTGGGCTATGCTTTGCTCCATCGAAATGCAAAGCACTTCTCCAAGATTGGCAGGGACCCACCTCTGCGCTAACACTTAGTGGTGATCTGCTAGAAGTCGTTCAGGAATTCAAGTACCTAGGCAGCCATATTACCGCCCGTGGGAGCGAAGATGAGGTTCCGAACCGTATAGCAAAATTTTGAGGTGCTTTTGCAAATCTCCGTCACTTGTGGCGCAGACGCGACATTACTCTCGCCCAGGAGTGCAGAGTTTATGATGCAGCCGTCCGTTCAACTCTCCTATAGGGTTTTGAAACCTGGCCCATCAGGTCGACAGACAGACACATTCGATCATCGCTGCCTTCGCAGCTTAGCTCATGTCTGGTGGGCGCACCGCGTGCTCGATGAGCGTGTTCGGCGTCGCGTATTTGGTGCAGGAAGAATGAGTGAACCGCTCAGCACCATTATATCACGCACCAGGCTCCGACGGATGAGACACGTGTTGCGCATGACAGCACATCGAATCCCGCGAGGTGCATTGTTTGCGCTCCGGGGTGCGGTTGGAAGAGAAGGAGGGGAGGCCAAGCGATGACTTGGTCGAGAGAAATGAAAACTGACTTTGAGGTTGGCGTCGGTTGGTGCATTCCGACTGCCTGGCTGGGGTCCTAAGAACGATGAACACGTTTGGTTGGACACATTTGTTGGTATAGCTAGGAGCCGGCCCCAATACCGTTTGTGTTGTGAGTTCCTTTGTCCATCCCCCCACTGCTTAGCATCCCCCTCTAATCACGATCTCACTCGTTAGGCATAATATAACTTTTTGCGGCCCGATAGCCGACTGTTAGCTCTCCGGAACGATGTCCATCGGTTACTGGGAACACAGCCGGCGTGCCACTGTTTTTCTTTTCTTCTTGTCTTTTGCATTGCGGCACAATATCTGAGGTGTTTTCCACCTGCAGCTAACGTGTATAATGAATGAATGAATGATCACTAGCGAGCATTTCCAGTAGCTCGGCAATGCACCCTCGGACAGTGATCTGTTAAACAGGTCTATCACGGCAGGAGAGATGCGGGCCGATAAGTACTTTAAAATTAGCGCGTTATGTCTATCGGGTCCGGTAGGTTTCGTGCCGTCAAGACTGGCGAGTAGACTGCGGACATCTTCTACACAGCAAACCAGGCTCTTTGAGTTCAGTAGCTGTTGACATAAGCGCACGCCCACTCGTAAATACGGAAGCGAAGTGCTCCGCCAATGCAGAGGCACGTTCCTTCCTGAACTTCACAGGCTGTCTGTCAGTGACCTCGAACACAGCTACGTCACTTGTAGGCCTCAGGCTCCGCTTCACGTAGGCAAAAATCTTCTTGGGGCCGTCTTCGTTGAGGTCGCAAGCTTCTCTTCGAACTATCAACGCTTTTGCGCTATTGTATAGATACCGCTGCCTTTTGTAGGACTCATAATCGTCGACAGAGCCAGACATGAGGAAGTTATTCCACAATACGCGTCGCTGTCGAGCCAATTGACTATACTCTCTGTCGAACCAATGTGGCTTCACTGGTCCAGCTTTCCGTTACTTGGGGAGTATGAAATTAGCGTACAACGATTGCACACCCTCTTTTATAACAGACCAACAGCTTTCAACAGACGAATACTGTTTCAGCGACAATACACTTTCCTGGTGACTTGATTGAAAGCATCGAACTCGGTCTTCAATAATTGTAAGACGGCTCCGGCAGACGCGAGTAGGGCAGCGGAATTTCTAGGCTGGATAACACCTTCGAGTAGCCACTAGACGGCAGAGGCTCCAGTACCTGAATTTCATGTGCACGTTGCTCGCAACTCGTTAGTAGTAGGTCCAGCACGATGGAGCGGAATGCGGTGTAACGCGCGTCGGTTGGCAGAAATGTAGTATTGCCCTAGTTTCAAGTACCATCGTTGCAAACTGTGCCTCGATTTCACAATGCCCGGGAAGAAGTTGAATCTCAGGCCACTGTATTCAAAGGAAGTTAAAATCCCGCATAAGCAGGAAGCGGGACCGACCCATGTAGTTTCTGATATGCGGCAACCAATCCAGACATCGACTTCGCGTGTTGCGACAAGCCGCATCCGCAAATAGTTTCCCCTCTCTCAGGCCGATTGGGCACCATAACTGTTTGCACAGGTCATCTTCCCTGCGATAGGTGTGTACCAGTCACCCGCACAGAGAGGACCAAGTGTATAACAGCACCTCGCCTCGATCGTTTGTTAGTCTGTCGCACCGAAAGCACGACTAGCCACCGATCTGGACTTCCTGGATAGTGACCACAGGATTTAAGCAGGTTTCGGCCAGTCCGGACAACAAGAGGCATTGAAGTGAAATACATTATCACGTCTGTTTATTACACTACAAACATTTGTGAAGGCTATGCGCAGACCGCAGTAGGAAGCGACGGACACGCACGAAACCCCATCGACCTGTTGCTCCGGGTTCGGCTGACCCGGGGAACTACCCGAATGTTTACAATGTGGAGATCGCTTTCCACACTATTAGTCCGCCGCTTCAACTTCACAATAGTGGACTTCAGTTTCTCTCTGTCCGATGGATCCAAATCGGGACGTATATGGATCTTTAGACCTCTTAGCCTACCGAGGCGGGATAGTATCTTCCTCGGACTCGATTCATTAACAAACATGACTAGCAGAGGCCAGGTCTTCCCATCCTTTCTCTTTGCAAGACGGGTGCTTTGCTTCACCCGCAACCCTTGTTCATTCGCGTTGAGAAGCATAGCAATCAGGCTCTGCAGTACATCCACGTCGTGGTCATAAGGAGCCTGAGGACAAACATCTGTCGACTCAGGCGCGTGAAACATCTTAAGGTTACAAAGCCTCTGATTGTTGGCAGTTGTCCATTCCTTTTTCCTTCGCTGCACTCTCCATTGGCCTTTGTCGCCTGCGCTATCGCACACCGGTATGTTTGTGTCCGTAGGACGCAACACAGGTACGCCACCTGAGGCTCCAATAACGGGTGGACATCGTTCTGGAGAGCCTGCAGCCTGTGCGAAGGTGAGATAGTACAAACATAAAGGGGGCTGGGTTTCCGCTTGCTTGGATGAACCCAAGGTGCTCCTACCTATGGAACTTTTACCTGGCTTGTAGAATGGCGCACCTTCTCGGCTGTTTGTGGCTGAAAATGGCCTGGATTTCTTGCACAATATTTGAATGAAGTCATGCTGAATTCCACGCAGTAGTTTAAAATGATCCCATAACAGACCAATGCAAGAAATGTGGAAATTCACGCGACACATAAGGCATGTAACAGTATTGACTCTATGCGTAACTATTCTGCAACAAGTGTCACAGTGAGTTAGCTTCGTCATTACGCATAATAGCAGATATGAAGGTAAAGGTCCTAAACTGAACAAAAAGTACACGCGACAAATGCCAGAGCAAAATGTACGGATACAACAGTAATACACAATAAACAAATTTCGAAACAAAAGAAACTGATTTTGACAAGAATAAACATTAAAAATCTGCTTCGTACAAAGTAATGTACTGTGCAAACTGGCCTGTCAAACGGAACGAGAAGAGCCGTCCGACGAGCTAAAGATCTCTTTGTCTATTAAAGAATGACAATGGAGCAGAGGTGTTTCATCTCCCGGCCGAAGTATAGAGTTAGCACCAGACATTTATAGGGGACGATATCGGCGTATACAAGGTGGCCTCAAAATTGTGTCTAGAAAAGGCGATGCTGCCAGCGTTCATTGGAAGATGAGGTAAATAAAACGGTCGCTGTACACACCGGCCTTAATTCCGAAACGGTGCAGATACATTCTGTTGAATCCACCGAAATTTACTCTGATCAGTCAATGAAACATATCTAGCGCTCGCACTTTTACCCGAACTATCCACTCTCGGTAACAAGCATGGGCCACTCCAGGATTGTGTGGGTTTGGATATGGACGCCACGGAAGGCACATTAGCACTTACCTGGGTTTGAAAGTTATCCGAAGGCAACTTGGACTGGAGCGTATCAAAATCATAACAGTCGTGGCTGATAAATGACTGACAGGCAACCCGTTGAGCCGAATGAGTTCATCACCGACTTTCAAGCCAGCCAACGCGGCCGGAGATCCTCTCAGAACTGTTGTCAAGTATACGCCCTGGTTAGTGCGAGAAAGTATGATAGATATTTCACTGATGCGGTATTCAACTCAAGGACCCAAATCGTGCATAATACATTGATTGTCAAAGTGATCACTTAAAGTGCACGATTTTCACCTTGAAGCTTTATGGTATTCATCAAAGGTCACAGAGAAATGCGCATTATTCACATAGCCCGAAAAGTCTTTGCTAGTTGGTGGCAAGAGCGATTAGGTGCGGAGTAGGGAACTTAATTCTCTGAAAGACCTCACGCAGTGATACACGCTGTAAAAAGCATCGCCTTTCGACCCCAGGTATCATTTGGCTAAGGGAATCTCATTTGTTCACTATGGAATAATAGGTTGGCTCACGGAGTTCGATGGTACAGCCGAAATAATGGAACCTGTGTATGGCCATCAGTCAGCTTTGCAGCTTGATTTGCCCACCCATTCCCCATCATCCGATTGCTTCTGCAGTGCAGCGTAGCCAAAGAAGCGTCACGCTACTACAAAAACTATCAGCAAGCATATTCATGTATCATTTGAATGTGTGAGCACGCTGAGCTAGAAAAATCCATTACTTAACCAGTATCTGATGCGATTAAAAGTATAAACAGTTTAACGTATCTGAAAAAGAAATAGGCACATTTGTATAAGTGTATAATGTCTCATAGGTCATCGTAAACAAAATAATTTATTTTCATCTGACAGTACCGAAATCTGACCTAAAGCTTAACTTCGGCAGACTTCGGACAACAGCAGTCAGTCTTTACAGCAATATTATACGCCCTTGGATAAAATGCAAATACTGATAACGCTTGCTTTTTTGACGGATAGAGGTGCGAATGTTTTATGCTTAAAATAGTACACAAACAAATAGACATAGGTACCGAATCCCGCTAAGAAAAATTAAATTTTTTTCCCTAAATTGAATATTAGCGCCTACGAAACTCGAGTAAGTGTCACCTAGACCCGAAATTTATGAGGCTCGGGAATGATAGGGAAAATCAGTGCGACGGATGGTTGGTTGCCTCCTGAAAGCCATTCATATTCATTCGCATACCAGACCTTAGTAAAAGCACTTTCTGATCCACATTCCAACAAACAGCTAAATTCCAAACTCATGAAATATATGATGATATAACACTCCATCATGGTAAAGCTGACAATAGTTTGGCTACGAACAAAGGCCACTGGAGCTGGGTACAGTGGGACTTACATGGCCAAAATTATCAATCCGAATACCGAATTTCTGCCCTGGTTCTTTGCGTGTCAGCGTAACTTCTCGCATCTCACGTAGGTCCGTGTTTGAACTGTCCATCCCGGTAGGGAATTGCGCTTGAGATGGTCGATCTGAAGGCGATGAGTGCCGGTCACAGGCGTAACGTGATAAACTGATTCCGTGAGACTGGGAGGTTGTTATCCGCAGATGATTCGTCGATTCTGAGTTGGTATTTGCTAGGTGGAGTGACCTACAACCACAAGCATTGGAGCAATTCGTGTGCGAATACGTTGATTTATTTTGGTGGTTCCTTGCCAGACTTGTGTTCACCGATGGCCAGAAATATGTGGAGAGCTCCTAGAGCGGACAAGAGAAAAGGTGTTAGAGTGAAGATAATTATGCATTTGTCTTCGTCGGTAGATAACTCAAGGTCGAATCATGCTTGCAAGCATTGCACTCTTGCGCACAGCGTGAAGTGGGATGGTGTTACCAATGTTCTGAAGTCGAGCCCAGAGCATGTATAACAAGATCATTTCCACTTCATGTCATGAAACGAAACTACAGCAACGATGGGATTCATGATGTGCTAATTGCAATCGAACGCTTAGCCCAGCATACAATACTGCAGTGACTCAAGGAACGCTACCCCCAAAGTTTGTGATTTCGTCTCCTGCTGGTCAAAACCAAGTTGCTTGAGCTGTAGTAATGACCGGCGACAGGAATGAGGAATGATCAAAGTGAGCGAGGAACTGGTGACCTGCATGTGTTACGCAAAATAGCCATCACATCCTGTTCTCGACTACCCCGCAAAGGAACGATTCTTCATTGCAAGTTATTAGCAGCGTACCAAGTTGGACGTCATTATCACATTCTACATTAGTTAATGTCTGGGCTTTGGATGGTCAGTAGCATAAAGCACACATGTTAAACACCTTCTCCAACTGTGCCGATCCCGATTTTATCGTGAAATGGGCCAAAAGACTCTGCTCAAAGGACACACTTTTCTTTGAGTTACAGCGCATACGATCGACGCTTAACAAGAATGGCTACCCATAGAATTTTGTTGATCTAATGTGGGGCTTAACAAGGAGGCACCTACGGTCCTGAGGGTGGAACGGAAAGCTATTTTCCTGAAACTGCCTTACAAAGGTGAAATAGGACCAGCGACTCTATCCCCCCGTCTTTCGTACACAATCAGGAATACCATGTTAGCGGCGAGGCTGCAAATCCGCTTCATTAACAGCTCAATGATTAGACTAAACATCAAGCATAAGCTGTTGTCCACACCAAATTAAGGTGTGTTTGCTCATTAACCTTTTCGTGTAAAGCAGGTTATGTTGGTCGTAAGACAAGGCGGTTATCGAAAGTGTAGGGGAACAGCACCAAATCTGACATCACTGCGCATCTTGCAGCCACTTATCATGCCACCAAGTCGGCTGATGCGTTTAAAGCAATCTGTTAGGCCCTAAAAAACCGATCAAGGTATTTCGGTAAGCGGATACTCGACGTCGCAGAAGCCATGGCCATTCGGATGTACGAACCAGGGCTGCGCACACAAAAAGCTTCACTCACGCTATGAGCCTATCTTGGCCAGGACAGCTTGCAGTTGACCTGTGTGGGCGTGCGACCACAACTGGAACCTGACCGACGGGTTTTTCATAACGTACTAGAATCAGTTTGCCTGACTGATGACCCGTTGGGGCTGTATACAAAATTATTATTTTCATGTAATAATAAAAGACTGATAAGGAAGTACCGAAAACAAATATTCGCTAACACAGACTTTCGGGGAATCAGGCTTGTGCGCGTGCTCCAAAATGCGCCAAATGCAAAAGCTTGGAATACGCTTGGAATCAATTGGGAAGTTAGAAGACGATTATGAGACTTGTGGTAGTGGGTCAACCAGCGGCTTGTTTGCCCTTAGGCAAAATGAAGACTCCTTTGTGAGTCAGTGCTAATATTGGACCGATTCACTCATTGTTATCACTAATGGGATCGAAATTTTGGGCCAAATTCCTTTCAATAAATAAGCCTTACTCGCAAAGTTTTCGACGTGTAGATACCGAAGTACACGTCCTTCATAGCTGGAATCTTATCTGTTGGATCGATGTGATCAGCCTACACGATTCGGTATGTCGATCAGTTAAGCCTTTATGTGCCACCGGAGAAAAATAATAATCACCGTCTCTGAAATGCGATATAGTCGCTTAGATTCACATTTATCTCCATGAGAATGACTGTGTTAAACGGATGGTTATCTTTCTAACTTCCATTGTCAACACAAATAAGTAGTAGTAACTGATAACAACGATACATGAATACTATGTTCATTCACTATCACCTGCTATGCAGTTTCAGCGCGTTATTATCGTTGCGTAATGCTGAAAAGGGAGAAAGATTCCTAACATGAGCAGTAACGGACCTGAATAGAGTTTAAGGATATCGCTGGGCTGTTTCTGTCAGTGTGTTTACAGACTCAGTTCACGCTACAAATACCTATTCAACAGGACTTTTATTTGTTAAATTCTTGCTTAACTGCATGACCCTAAGGTGGATTTAAGCAATCAAAGCATCATTTTTTTCTTTAGGGGCAAGTAAATAACAGATCACTGATCAACGCTGCGAGCACCACAGTGTCGTTTGGCCAATCTTGTTGGTTGAATCAGAGAAGTGTTCTACACCTTATGCAGTAAACTGAAGATTATTTTGCGGAGCTGCTCCCAGGGGAATAAGATTGCTTGGAGTAAGCTGACGAGATTTCCCTCATTTGTGACGGCTCACAAAGGTGCCAAGCAGTATTGGGCAGATTAACGCTGGCTGTCAATAGCTTCGGGCTTTACCATCAAAGTGAAACCTTTTCGTCCAAGCTTGGCAGGCACCTACTCCTGCGCTTACCCTTGGTGGGGGAGAAGCTAGTAGTTGTTCAGAAGTTCAACTACCTAGACAGCTGTATCAGCGCTGTTGGAATAGAAGACTACGTCGCAAACCGTATAGCAAAACCACAACGCACTTTTGCTAACCTTCATCACCCATGGAGCCGGCGCGATGCCTATCCGTTTGCTGGTACCTCAGTTGGGATGCAACTGTTGTATTTATTTTTATTTTCCTTTATGTATTGCGGCAGTAGCTGAGGTGTTTCCCATCTCTAGTTGACGTGTACAATGATGTTGATGATGACTTCTAGGACAAAGCAGTAAACCGCGTGAATATCTGTTGGGATCATTGTGGCCAAAGCAACCGAACTGGATTATCGGCGAAGTTTAATGTGCTTCGCGGTAGAATATTTTTCTATTGGAAATTTGGCAGGTGACATCAGTGTCCACTTTATTCTGAATGAGTTATATGTTAAGACTTATGTGTCTACAAGATTTATACGTGTCAAAGGAGTCTGCGCACTCAAATCAATAACCTGTGGAAGCAGTTGTGTGAGTAGTGAGTAGTAGGGGTTTTATTGGGTTTTTGCTGGAGACTGGTCAGGCAGGCAGCCACCAGATATCCAGGAAAGTGCTAGCCGGCCGTCTCGTCCCATTGCGACTTGTCAGCAGCGCGCACCCCCGACTTTACACCTACGAGCCAGCGATTAATGCCACGGAGCCACAGGTCATGAAAGCGGACCGACGTAACTGATATCCAATATATGATATCCTATATCCTGATATCCTATGTGGCACTTCCCTTCCTCCACCTTCATGCATGTTACATACGTGCAGGAGGCAGGGTTGGCCCTCAGAGCAATGACTTTCTTTATAAGCTGCCACAGACCGAGGTGGCAGGTAACCTGCAAATGCGCTTACTGATTAGTAATGGGTAGCTGGGATTTATTTGGTGTTGGTAAGGATTCGTCGCAGTAAGACTCAGGCAGCAGCCAGCGCACATCCACGCAAGCGCCAGATGGCGGCTTCGTCTACTGGGACTCCTCAGTAGGGCTCACCCTCAGAAACCTGCCGGATTCGAACCAGCGATCTTGATCTTACCAGTCACTCACGTCTGAAAAAGCGATAGCTCCGTGTCGCACTGCGGAAGAGTACCACAAGACTAACCGGTCGTCCAGCACTTTTCTGGATATGTGTGGCGGTCTGCCTGTGTCTAGCTGGAACGAATCTACATAGAAAGCTGTGGGGAGTCTCATACGCACACCAATTCTGCGGATCCGATATTCGTACTGAACGCGAGTGACACTAATTGCATAGTAGAAATGAGAGGCAATGGTCTCAAAATTTTGACGGCTGGACCTATAAGTGCACGTAGAAGGACGTCGTGTTTGACGGAGAATACCATTCAGCGGCAAGCGGATGCGTTGTGCAGTGAAAAAAATAACGGTGAGGCACGGCCAAACGGATGCTTCGATTAAGATCACATCTCGCAGCATCCATGTAGACGTTTACAGTTGAGTAGAGCAGAGTGCGGCCAGATCTAATGCAAACCAGGAATCTTCGTCGACGCAATCCTTACTTCGTCACTCCTGCGCCGCTATGGTTATTCAAGATAGCTGTGAACAGAACCTAATAGCCCAATATTTTCTACACTGCTTACTTCTTAATTTGCTACGTATGAAAGCACTCTAGAAGTTCTGCTGACTCGCTTGCTCCATCCTAATGGTGGCCCTGTTGGTCAGCATTAACTCACAAGTTCAGTATGATCTATGTGAACCTGATCGGATCTGTATGTTGCCTGCATGAAAACACTGCACTCCACTACGCATTTCATCCTTATTTGATATCACCATATAGAACTAACTAGCGAAAAACTCAGCGCCATTCAGATATTATGTGGTACCTCAACGCCTTTAGCCACTGGACCCCAACGGGCAACGATTGGCACAACGGGTAAGGGTTAATTGGTGCGTCATTTTGAATTACTCGTTGTGTGATTTGATTGCGACGCGCCTTCTTAGTGTGGACTTGGATTCCCACTAAAGTAAACCTTTTCAGTTCGAACACTGGGACCATAGCTGGAGCAGGTGTGAATTGGGTGCTTACTTGTAGTTCAACACGAATCCGTTCCATCGCACTTTGGGGCGGAGATTGCATCATCTAATACCGATATTCGTCATGCACTGCACTCCCCACACAACGATGCTATCGAAGTTTACGGTCATC